TTTTGTTTGGACTATAGTTTTATGCTAACAATATTTCATGCCATAAAAAATCAACACATTTTGCGTTAACATTTTCATAATTTTATAAAATCTTTGTTTGAGGTTTTTGGTTGAGTTCTTCCATGAAAATCACATTTTTTTTTTTTCAAAAAAAAATTACCAATATTTTTTGACAATTTTTTAAGTTAAACCATGTTCAATATTTTACTAATTTGTTCCAGATAATATCTAAAATGAGCTGACAGATTTTAATTACCTATTATTGACCAAAATATTTTTTTAGTGTAAAATGGAAAGGCACCCAAAAAAAAATTTTTTTTTAATATATTACCTTCATTTCGAGAGATTTGTAGTAATTAAATTTGTTTCGAACTGACTCTTTATGTTCAGAAAAATGCTTATATAGATAATTCTAGTTCCCTAGCCTCTTCTTGAGTTAAATTGGTAAACCCTTCTTCAAACAACCTTTTTAATTCTTATCAAACCCAGGAAAGGTGTTGAAGAAAACTATAATCGAAGATAAAATTAGGTAATTTTATCGAGAGTTCTGACTCTTAGATATATAGTTCATGTTTGCAAGGTCACAAAGGTATAGCCGGGAATAAACTGGCTAATGAGCTTTCCCTCTCCGCAGCATCCACCAACGGGATAGGACCGGAACATTACGGTTGGTCCCCAAACCATAAAGGTTCTGCCCAGCAATGATGAAGCAGGAGAACCCTTGGCAACAACGCCTGCTGCTAATGCGTGGTTGCAACCTTAAAAGCTTTCAATATGTAATCAACCTTCCAAGTGAAAAAATCAAGCTATTGGTCGCCTTCTACACTGGTCATTGTAAGCTCAAAAGCCACTATTTCAACATGAGCCTAACTTCTTGCGCGAATTGCCAGAATACCTGCTAATCGACTGCACAGCAATCTGTAGGGGCAGGAAAAAGGCCTTTAGATCCATGTTTCCAAATAGGGATCAGATCGCCTCAATAGCACCTAGTAGTATATTGGAATTTATCAATTTGCTGAGGCTAGTTGAGACGTTGTGACTTAGGACAGAGCTCAATGCATCCTAGGTCGCGGTACAATCCTCATTTACTTATCTAATCTATTCTAATGTTTTATTACCAACGCTTCCTACCTCGACGCGATAAAATACTAATAAAAAATATTGAACTTTTTATAACCTAGAATTTGAACATCTTCTACGAAAATCTTTCCAAAATGCGAACCCCAGTGCTTTTGGAATTGAAAAATTCGTATATTGAAATTAAGTACTTTCGCAGAACTTTAACAGGTATGGGTTGCTAAAATGAAAAACCACCACTGAAGCTTACTTAACTGTCAAAAAAAACTGTCACAACATTACTGACGAATAGATGACAGTAATTCTGGGTTGTTCTGGAAATGTGTACCTGACTATTTTTTTTAGGGAAAAGTTTCCTATATTGGTTCTACTTTTGCAGCTCATGTATAGGCTTTCAAAAATAGGAAAACAGATTTGAAGGTTTCTTTAGTTGTAAAAAAACTCTCCAAATACAGTCACCACAATTCTAACTGACAGTTTCATTTCAGACAATCTTTTTGTCACAACAATGCTAACTGACAGCTCCATTTCTTACTACGGTTTTATTGAATTTTCATGAGCCATAAACTCAAACAAATTATCGAACATTATTTTACATTAAAATTTGTCATTTTTTATTTCAGTTATTTGAAAAAAATATTAAAAAAGAAAACAACTTATGGAAAATGTTGGCATAAAAAAATTTAATAAACAAAATTGGCTGTAATTTGTAGTATATGAAGACACTGTAAATAACTTGTTATTACACAAATTATAAAGAAAACGTACATTGAAAATGCGAAAGGCGCACAGGCAAGCGATGTCAACATTTTATCCAGAGAAAATTAAAAAAATAAAATAAATTTTTTTTCCACTTGGCTGTTGTCAAAAGTTTCACAATTATAGCTTGAGACAGCAAACAAGACAATATAATGAAATCGAGTTGAGTTTCGAGGCTGCAAACCAAATTCTTAGTAAATTTTCGAAGCTATTTACGATTCATAATATATTTAGTAAACATTTTTTTTTTAATTTTTCATTTAAAAAAAAAATGCATTAATATTGCACACGAGTATAAATACCGAAAATATTCAACTCGATTACATATTGTTGGAAAATTGCAATAAAAAATAACGGAATCATATATCTCGAACTAAAAAAAAAAAATAATCATTTATATAACACCTGAATTTATTTCACTTAAAAATAAATAAAAATATCATTCAAAAAAAAATATGAATAAACTGCATGCACTAAAAAGGATATGCTTGAATAGCTAAAACTGAAACTAAACTATATGTGTATTGTAAGCGATTTTTTAATTTAATTTTATCTTTTGCGAATTTCACTGCTCATAAACTATTTATATAACAATTGGCCGAAATCTAAGTACTATCACCTCTCTACTCTCGTACTCGTACTCGTTCATCTCCCTGCCAAACTAAAAACCACAAAAAAAATTAACAAAAATTACGTTTATGCTCTGTAAGTTATATTTTACATAAATACATACATACAAATAAAGAAAAAAATCGACAATCGTGTAAAAACGCTAAAAGCGAACCAAGAAATGAAAATAAAAAACACAAAAAAATTAATGAAAATACAAAATCAAAAAATTTCAAAAGCATTTTTTTCATATGATTTCCATATTCTTTTCTTTTCTTTCATTTAATTGTAGGGTCCCCGGTGTGGAAACCACGAGACATGATTAATTTAGGCGATGCACAGTCGACAACGCGCAAAGACGATGCGAACAAATAAAGCAAGACAAGAACAAAATGAACAAAATTGAAAATATGAACAAAAATTTCAATTTTAAACACAAAACGTAACCCACAAATATGCAAAAATACATAGTCTATTTATCAACTAAAAAACATAAAAGCTGAAAACAAAAAACCAACAAACCGAATGTGAACTAATTTAGCAATTAGAACCAATAGCTGAAATCTGATCAGAAGTGCAAACATACACAAAGATTGTAACTCAAAATTAACACAAGCGATAACTACTATTGTACTATGTACTCAAACATATTGTAATTGCTGAAATCGAGACGAAGATGTGGACAAAAAACTCAAAATATTCGAAAATAATTTGTTTTTTTTTTTCAAGTTGAAAACTTTTTGAAAGTTGAAGTTACGAATTTTAATGATATTTAAAAACACGTTATAATTTGTGTATTTTAAGAAATTTCTTTTCGAACATATTTAAAAAAAAATTAAATTTAAAAAAAAATTGTTTTCGAAAATATTCGAAAAAAAATTTTTGAAATTTGAAAAAAGTTTGTTGTGTATTTTCAAAAAAAATTGTTTTCGTAAATATTCGAAAAAAAATTTTGGAAATTTGAAAAAGAGTGTTAAAGATATTTCAAAAACATAATACATTGTGTATTTTAAAAAAGAAATCAAATATTCGAAAATAAATTTTGACATTAATCTTTATGTATTTAAAAAAAAAGTTTGTTTTCGAATATATTAGAAACAAATTTTTAAAATTTTCAAAAAGGTTTGGAGTTTCAAAATTATTTAAAAAATACATTATTCTGTGTGTTTATTAAAAAAAAAGTTCGTTTTCGAAAATATTCGAAAACAATTTGAAATTCGACAAAGCGTTTGAAGCTTCAAAGTTATTTTAAAAAAACATATGCTTTTTGCATTTTAAAAAAAAGTTCGTTTTCGAAAATATTCGAAACAATTTTTTTTTTTTTTTTTTTT